CCCGTCCCGCTGCCCTCGCTGCGGCACAGCCCCTGCCCCTGCCCTGCTACCCCTTGGCTGTCTCAGCCCCTCTTTAGTTTGTGCTTTTTTTGGTTTTCCTCTTTTTTTTTTCTTTCTTTTTTTAGCCCCCCTTGAGTGTACAAGTTGTTTTTGTTTTTTAGTTCCATGGGAGCTGTGAGCCAAGGGGAGGCGAGTGGGAGCAGGGCTGACCGGCTCACCTCTGCGTTCCACTCTTCCCAGCTGGCCCTGCTCGGGGTTTTATTCGTGTTTTTGCCCTCTCTGTTGTCTCTAGTCCTCCGGCGCCCCGACAGACAATGATCCTCTCGGGCCCCTTCCTCCTGGCTGGGGTAAGTACTGCTGCCTCACCTGCCTACTGCATGGCCCTGAGGGAACACTGGTCACCCTGCCCACCCTGCAGGGAGCTGTCAGCGGCTCCCTCACTCCCATCCCTGGAGTTAATGGGAAGGGTGGACATGGATCCAGGTCGGCTGTGTGTGGGGCTGAGTCTGCCTGTGATTAGCACAGTCTCTGATTTGAAATCCATCTTTTTTCTCCTTTTTTTCCCCTTTTCCTGGAGAAGTTCCCAGCCTCTCTTAGCTGCTGAATGCAGAAGTGCTTGTGATTGTTCTTTGGATGGGGTGAGAGGCTGGGGATCCAGCTCTTTGCTGTCCTCAGCCCCTTCCTCTGCCAAGCAGGGATCTGTCCTGCTGTCATGCTGCCTCCTGGGATGCTCTGCCCAGGGCTGGGAGCTGGCAGGAGCAGGGCTGGCTGTTCCCATGGTCCAAGCATCATGTGCTGGGACATTTTGAAATGTCCCTGTGGCACTCCTAGGGCAGAGAGACCCCCTCCATGGTTGGAGAGCATCCCTGGAGAGGGCAGGCTGGAATGCTCATGGGGCTGTGCTGTGCCAGGGAGGGCAGGGGAGGGATTAAATTGCAGGAACTCAGAGCAGGACAAAGGGGCCCGGGCTGCTCAGGGGGTCCCCAAGGGCAGGGTCTTGATGGGGGCGGTGCTGGAGCCCTTGCTGCCATGCATGCTGGGTGGCCCACCTCACACATCAGTGAGGAGAGGGAATCTGTCCCCCGTGTCAGCTGAGCAAGCTAAGGGAGACACAGCTCTGTGTGGGGCTGAGCACTCTGGGGGGTCCCCAGGAGAGATGGGGTCCCTGGGATGGATGCAGGCATCGTGTGTGGAGTCTGCCAGAGCCATGGCGTGGGGGCTGCTGCCCAGGAGTGAGATGGAGTGAGGGGATGTTGGTGGCCAGGAGGTGACAGGGAGTGTGCGTGCAGGGCGTCCCTGCCGGCATGGAGAGGGGCAGCAGGAGTGACGCAGCACGTGGAGGGAGGAGGTGTGGGGCACACATGTTGGTGAGGAGTCACTGAGTGACGATAGAGGGGTTGCTGGCGTGGGCAGGTGGGATGAGGGGGTTCAGAGGTGAGTGCAGGATCACTGCCAGGCCGGGGCATGTGGTGCCCAGCCATGGCTGGGAGGCTGTTGCTGCTTGGAGTGTGGAAATCGGGCTGGAAGTGTTGGGAAGGGAGTGCACAGGAAAGTTGTGTGAGGTTGCAGGCACAGAGGGGCTGAGCAGCAATGCTGGTATGTGTGGTGGGTTTGTTTTGTGCCTGTGTGCAGCACAAGGAGGGCTGTGTGCGTGTGTGTGTGTGTGTGTGTGTGCTCTCACACACACATGCAGTGCACACTGGGAACCTGAGCCATGTGCTGGCAGCAAGGCCTTGCAGGGAGTTTGGGAAAGCACCTGCAGATCCACCTGGAGAGATGCTGCTGCGTGTCCGAGGAGGGTGTGTGTGCCACCAAGGTGTATGTCTGAGCACACCCCTGTGCCAGCTTGGCAGTGTGTTGGCAGAGCTGGCCTCTGCCCTGGCAGCTCCTGCACACTGGGCAGCTTGGGTATGCGGAAGGGATGTAGGGTTTGTCCTGCCTTTTCCAAATGAGCCCGGGAGGTGGGATGGGGGAGCTGACAAACTTCCCCTGAGCTGGGAAGGAGAGGGCTGTTCCTGGAACTCCTACTAATGCTTCCTCTCCCTTTGTTCCTAGAGAAGAGACAGGACAATGGGCGAGTGTATTACGTGAACCACAACACCCGGACCACGCAGTGGGAAGACCCTCGCACGCAGGGGTAGGGTAGACTGTGGGGGGAGCAGGGGGAGGGTGGTTGTGGTTTTGGAAGGTGCAGGGACCTGCCCTGGCTGAGGACCTGGCCCAGACCTCCACTGGGGCCACCTCTCCAGCAGATGGGGAGTGAAGCTATAATACTGTCCTGGTTGTGGGGGTGCAGACAGGTGCTCACTGATCCCATGCCATGGACCCTTCCTTTGGCCTGGCAGTGAGCTGCAAGCTGCAGGTGGTTGCCAAGAGCTGCAGTTCATGGGGGAGCTGCCCCAGGGGCTGCCTGGTGACCTCTCCCTTGTCAGCAGGATGATCCAGGAGCCGCCGCTGCCACCAGGCTGGGAGATGAAGTACACGAACGAGAGCGTGCGCTACTTTGTGGACCACAACACGCGCACCACCACCTTCAAGGACCCACGGCCGGGCTTTGAGTCTGGGTGAGCCCTGGGCAGGGGTTTGAGGGTCATGCTGGGCTCTCACAGGGGAGAGCTGCATCCTGGCTGGCCATGAGTCTGGTCAGGGCAGGCGGGTGCTGAGGCCTGTGCTGCTTTTGCAGGAGCAAGCATGGCGGCGGCGCGTACGACCGGAGCTTTCGCTGGAAGTACCACCAGTTCCGCTTCCTCTGCCATGTGAGTAGAACAGCTAGAGGCTCTGGCAGGTCTGGACTGGGTGGGTGTCCTGACTCCATGTGCAGGTGTGGGCAAGGAGAGCCCCTGTGCCAGCCTCACACAGCCTTGTGTTTCTGCCTTGCCTGCAGTCCAACGCGCTGCCCAGCCATGTGAAGATCAGTGTGTCCCGACAGACACTCTTTGAGGACTCGTTCCAGCAGGTATGGAGGTGCTGGGGCCATGGACCCAGGCAGGTGTGGAGCCATCCCTCTCCCCAGCCATGGTGACACTTCCCTGCTTGTCCCCAGATCATGAACATGAAGCCATATGACCTGCGGCGACGGCTGTACATCATCATGCGAGGAGAGGAGGGTCTGGACTATGGTGGCATTGCCAGGTGAGTGCTAGTGTGCCAGGCCATGACGCTGTGCCCTGCCTGTGCCCTGAGTCCCCAAAGGGCAGCACAGGCATGGGAGGCTGCCTGGCAGCTGCACTCAGGGTCCCCAGCCCTTGGGCAGAGGAGTCCAGGGGCATTCAAATGGGAAACGGAGTTTTAGGAGTGGCAGAACACCTCAAGAGCATTGCACCATCCTGTCCCTGGCACTGAGAGTGCTGGAGGACTTGGCTGAGGCTCTCCTGCTGCCCCCAGGGTGTGGGGCGGTGGGTTGAGTGGCCTCTTCTCCCCACAGCCAACAGGCTCTGGTGTTCTCAGGACATTTGGTGTGTGCTGGGCAGACTGGGTGTGATGTAATTGCTGCAGCCCCCATGATGGTGATACCACAGAGTGTGGGCTGTGCCTCGGCTGGAGCGAGATCCCTGTCTCCATGAGCCCCCTCCAGCTCACTCTGGGTGTCTAACTTGGTGCTGGGCTGCTGCTTCCCCTACCTGCTGCCATGCTCCGTCCTTCATGGTGCTGCTGCCCCCAGCTCTGGTGCAGGGGCTCCTGCTCTCCTTCTCTCTCCGTGTCCTGCCAGTGGTTTTACCCTATGGTAGGTTACGTCATGCTGTTCTACCACAGGGTAGAACCACGGACGGGATGCCGGGGCTGCCTCCGCGTCCGAGGATTCCTGTCTCCCTGCACAGCCGGGGGAGCCAAGCCAAGATGGTGTCTGTGCCATGCTGCTCTGAGCTCGATGTGGGGCTCCTCGAGGAGTCTCTGCAGAGAGACTCAGTGTGCAGCTGTGTGCGTGTGTGTACATGTGTGACAGCCTGGGTGGGACTGAGTGTGTGGTGCCTGCCTGCCGGGATCCATGATGCTCCAAGTGGGGCCTCCGGCAGATTGCCATCTCCAGAAACACTTAACCCACAGAGCACTCCAGGGCGGGGGACACTGTTGTCCAGTCACAGCCTGGCCAGTGCCTGCTCAAAGAAACAGGCACCTGGTTGGTGCAGGTGTGCTGTGGGGGCACACGCTGTCCCCTCCAGAGGGGCACAGCCACCCCCGAGTTGCTCGTCACCACGTTCCCCTTGCCTCGCCCCAGGGAGTGGTTCTTCCTCCTGTCCCACGAGGTGCTCAACCCCATGTACTGCCTCTTCGAGTATGCGGGCAAGAACAACTACTGCCTGCAGATCAACCCAGCCTCCTCCATCAACCCTGACCACCTCACCTACTTTCGCTTCATCGGCCGCTTCATCGCTATGGTGAGAACCTGGGGGGGACCAGAGGGGTTTGTGTGTCCCGGGAGCAGGGGCCTGGCAGGGGATGGGGGTGGGCGAGGGGCAGCTCCATGTGCTGTGACTCTGCTCATCCTGGCACTGTTGCACTCCTGAAGCCCTTTCTCGCCCAGGTGTGGTCCGTGGGAGATGGCCCTTTGAGGGGCTGCTGTGGGGTGATGCATTGTTAAATCCAGGGAATGGCTGTGGCGCCAGAGAAGACCTGGTTTCCCAGGAGCTGTGTGGCAGGGATGGATGGCTCCAGGTCTTTGGCTGCCACCCCAGGTGCTGTCGGGTCTGCAGCTCCAGGGGCTATTTTTAGCCCCAGCAGTGTGAGATTTTCCAGCTGCCCTAGCTCCAGAGCAGCTCCTCCTGCTCGTCTTGGATTCCCCAAGGCCAATGTGCTGTGGGCTGCCCCGCCCTGGGCTGGCAGGGAGGCTGGCAGGGGCTCCCAGAGCCCAGGGAAGGGTCCCTGGCCCTGAGCCCTACGAGGTGTGTGCGGAGGTGGCTCCGTCCCCACGCTGTCCTGCCCTGCCCTGCCCTGCGCCTCGCAGGATACCAATAAAACCCCAGACTATTACTCACCGCTGGGCCGTTCTAGACAAGCGTCTGCATTATTTTTGGCTGCCTTTGCCTCGGGGCTCCTGGAAGCCAGGGATTCAGGGAAGCCACAGCACAGCTCTGTTTAAACAAGTGCTCTTAATAGAGCTGTGAGGGGAGAGGGAGACGCAGTGGAATTCGTGGTGGGGAGGGAGAGGGGCTGCGAACACAGCCGCGCCGGGTGGGCAGCGCTGCTGGGGGGAGCACACTCCTCCCACCGTGTTTGCCAGCAGGAGCGAGTGCCACAGCTCAGGAAGCTGGGAATGGTTTCCTTTTGCCCCGTGGCTACCCTAGTGGGGGAGCGAGCATTGTCTTAGTCCATGGATCTGTCCCAGGGTCCCCCATGACCTGGTGTCACTTTCCCACCACAGGCTCTGTATCATGGGAAGTTCATCGATACTGGATTCACACTGCCCTTCTACAAACGGATGCTGAACAAGCGACCGACGCTGAAGGACCTGGAGTCCATCGACCCTGAGTTCTATAACTCTATTGTCTGGACCAAGTGAGTGCCCTGTGCTCCCTCCTGTCCCTCCGTGAGCAGGCAGCGCTCACCCCACAGCCCCTCACGGGTGTCTCCATCAGAAATCACATCCCAGTGTCCCCCCCGCAGGGAGAATAGCCTGGAGGAGTGTGGCCTGGAGCTGTACTTCATCCAGGACATGGAGATCCTGGGCAAGGTGACCACCCACGAACTGAAGGAGGGTGGCGAGAGCATCCGTGTGACAGAGGAGAACAAGGAGGAGTACATCATGTGAGTGGCCATCACGAGGGTCCCAGTGGTGCCCGCCCCCACGGCTGCAGGGGTGGGAACATGGGGCCTGGGACGTGGCCGCTGCCCTGGGCTACGTGGCCTGTGACAAGTAGGGCTGGCGCGGCTGGCCGGGCTCTGCTGTGGTTTGGCTCGCTGCGGTCTGGGCAGCTGCCAGGACTTTCAGGAAAGAGGAGAGGGGAGAGAGGGTGAGGCTGCTCTCCCAACCCATGGCTGCTCACCCTGCCTGCCTGGGACTGCCAGGGGCTGCCAGCTCCAGCTCAGGCTCTGCCTGGGGTATGTCGTTTGCACCCCTGCACCTCCTGAAGGATGCTGGGCTGTGCTTGGGGGTGAGACTGCTCATGGATGTGGGGGCTGAGAGAGAAACACCACACCAGTGGGAACTGTGAGGGGAACCCTGGTGATTTGAGAGAGCCTCTCTCCCCTTCCCCATGCTCCTGGGGCCCTCCTGACCTATGGGAGGGATGATGGGGGTTCCCCATGCCAGGCCAGCAGCACTGGCTGCCTGCTGACCCCAGTCTCCATTCCCAGGCTGCTGACGGACTGGAGGTTCACTCGAGGTGTGGAGGAGCAGACCAAGGCCTTCCTGGATGGCTTCAACGAGGTGGTGCCATTGGAGTGGCTGCGGTACTTCGATGAGAAGGAGCTGGAGGTGAGCTGGCACCTGGGATGGGGATGTGGATGTGGTATGGCATGTGGTGACTCAGTGCCCATCACTTCTGCTGACAGGGGTGTGGTCTCAGGGTCTGTGGATGGCTCATTGGGTCTGTTAGCAAGCAAACATCTGCTTGGGTGTGAGGAATTCCTCCCAGATGCCTCTGTTGCCCAGTGCTGGCACCTGTGCCTGCGAAGCCTGGCAGTGGTGGAGTCAGTGCTCAAAGCATGGGCACAGGGCCGTGTGTCTGTCCTCTGCTGACTGTCCCCTGTCCCCAGCTGATGCTGTGCGGCATGCAGGAGATCGACATGAACGACTGGCAGAAAAATACCATCTACAGGCACTACACCAAGAACAGCAAACAGATCCAGTGGTTCTGGCAGGTCAGTCCCACTACCAGCGTGGTCTGAGCCTGGCCCAGGGCACGAGGTGTCTCTGTGGCAGGAGCTGTGCTGTGGGATGGGGCCCCAGGCATGGCTGGATCCCACTCACCTGCTGTGGTCTTGTCCTAGGTGGTTAAAGAGATGGACAATGAGAAGAGGATCCGACTGCTGCAGTTTGTGACCGGGACCTGCCGCCTGCCCGTCGGGGGCTTCGCAGAGCTCATTGGTGTGTTCTCAGGGCTCAGCTGGGTGGGGGGCCCTGGGGTGGTGGGTCCTGGCTGTCCCTGGCCCCATCACAGAGCACACAGCAGCACGTGAGGGCTGAGCGCAGGGATCCAGTCTGGTGCCGTGCCGTTCCCAGACGCATTCCTCAGCCCTGACCCGTGCTGCCACGGTTAGCTCTGTGGGGCTGCTCTGTAATCTCATTCCGAGTGCGATTGGATTTCTGATTTAATTTTGATTCTCATGCGACAAAAACTCTTTTCCATGAAGCCACAGCATGGCAATATTCCACTCTTATCCTTTAATTTGCTGCTTTCTGGGGCCTGTACCAGCCTTTCCCTGACTTTTCCTGGCATCCACGTCAGGCTAACCAGCTTAACCCACTCAGTTATTCTTGCTGGCGTATTAGCCTTTCCCACCCCCTGGAGCCTCTCCAGCATTCCCTATCCGTTACAAAGCCACTAGGGGGCTCAGACTTCCTGCACGGAGTCCTTCAAAACTCTCGAATGGACTTGCACAATCCTGAGGGTCTACAGATAAATAGGTTTTAGCACTTGCTGCAGAAACATTGTGCTCAGAGCTGGTGCTGTTACCCCCCTGTTCTGTGAATCTGCTCTTTGCTTTCTCCTTGTTTTTTTGCCCATCCTCTCTGCACAGTCAGGGATTGCTGCCATGGATTTATGCCCTGTGTGTCTCTGGGACTGTAGGGATGTGATGGTGCGTCCACTGGCTGACAGTGTGTGGGAGGGGTTTCTTTTCCAGCTCCTGGTCGTGTAATGAGCTTTGCTGTGCTTGTCATTAACAGGCAGCAATGGGCCCCAGAAATTCTGCATCGATAAAGTTGGCAAAGAGACGTGGCTGCCACGGAGTCACACGTGGTAGGTCCTTGCTACTTGGCCTGGCAGGAGTGTGTGTGGGCCCAGCGAGCTCAGCAGGGCTGCACGGGCCCCTGGGGGGCCCTGGGATATAGCTGCTCCTGGCTGTGCCTCTCACTGCAGCTGGGGAGCACCCTGGCGTGGGGAGAAGCCTCACGGCCTCTGCTCTCTCTCTCTCCAGCTTCAACCGCCTGGATCTGCCTCCCTACAAGAGCTACGACCAGCTGAAGGAGAAGCTGCTTTACGCTATCGAGGAGACGGAAGGGTTTGGCCAGGAGTGATGGAGCTTTGGTGCTTTCCTGGGCCAGGGAGGGCCCTGGAGCGCGCGGAGCCCAGCGCGGAGCCCTCGCGTGGGACGTGTGCAGGCAGCTGCGGCCGCTGAGGCTCTTGTTCTGGGCGAGATCTGCACTGATGCAGCCCTGGGGGCAATGGGGCTGCGTTTCCCTCCCTAAAGACCCCGAGGTGTGGTGGAGAGGTGGATGCCAGCGCTCAGCTTGTTAGGGGCCTGGGCTGCGGCAGAGGGGACAGGGTGAAGCCCTGGGCCCTGGCAGGCAGCACACCAGGGCACTGAGGCTCCCTAGTCCCCCACTTGAAGACACATGAGATCTGGTATCGGCACAGGCTGTTGTTCCCACCTCACGTTTGCTGCCTCTTCATGGCATTTCAAGAGCGGCAGGTGAAGGGGGGAATGGCACTTGGACTGACTTTCGGGCCCTATCCTGCACCCAGCACCAGGGTGATGCTTCTGGGGGATCTCCTGCACCACCCCAGAGCCAGGACAGCCCCTTCCCATGCCGGAGCCAGGGCCTGGCTGACTCATTACAGCCTGTGGTCCCTGTGCAGTTGTATTTAACAGTGAGAGGGTTTGTGCTCAGGGCTGGTGCTGCACCTAAGCCTCCGAGGCTCCAGGCACCGCTGGCGCACAGCCTTTGCTCAGGTCCTGGGGTTGCCTGAACTCCCTGTGCTCCCTCTGTCACCACCGTGGCTGGTGGCAGGAGAAGCTGTGGTGAGGGCAGGACCAGGCTTCTGCCCCTCACCTGGGTGTCATCTCTGCCACCGTGGGGGTACATGGCTGTACATCCAGGAGTCTGTGGAGACGGGACCTTGCGAGGGCTCTGGGCTGGGAACTGGCTGGG